ATGGGCACAGGATAATAAGTTGTGGGCACAAGATATTAAGTTGTGGGCACAAGATATTAAGTTGTGGGCACAAGATATTAAGTTGTGGGCACAAGATAATAAGTTGTGCGCACAAGATACTAAGTTGTGGGCACAGGATAATAAATTGTGGGCACAGGATAATAAGTTGTGGGCACAAGATAACATTTTATTTTTGGTTTTCTTGTAGGTCCCCTCCAGTCCTTCATAAAATACTGTCAGTCTCGGTCAAACCATGGTCAAACTCATGCTGCCCATGTTTGGAAAAACAGAACAAAAAATATGGCTAAAATAAGGTGAAAAAACCCCAGAAAGAATCATTAAACGTACTCATCAGAAAAAATTACTTCTCGTAATGGTAGAAATACTTCTATATCGATTATAACAGGTGAGATTGCGTTAAAAACGTCAGAGAACAAGACAACGGGAATAATGCTTTTTCTTCAAACTGAAAAAATGGCTGCGTCACGTACCCTTGTAACTGCGCATGCGTACTCGCCATACGCATAAATTTGATGTTTTAGTCGGTGTATCTGCTCAAATAACATCCATCATCACATATTAAATCATTATATACTAAAACTCGCATTTTTCAGACCATCCAATAAAATATTACCAGTATTTGTGCGACAGAATGCGTTATCGCAATATGCAAATTAGGCTACTCACCCAAGTCAAATATTTGTTCAATTTCAAAGACCACTATGTTATAAATTATTTAATGCAATAATTAGCTAATTAATATGCATGGAATTGCACCAAAATCTATTCAGCACATCTACTCATCATATATTAGCTGTGTGCCAAATTTCACTTGAATTGAAATTGTAGATCTTGAGTTATCAGTGGAACAAATTTTAGTCACAGAGTCACAGACACCGGTACCACATAAGCTCCGTTTCACGGGAGCTAAAAAACTAAATTGCTGCCAGTCAGCCATCTTGGATTGAATCAGTAAAACAGGGTTCTGAAATACGACTCCAAATGGACAGAAGGACAGGGACTAATAAAATAAAATAAATCAAGGTTTCATATTGTCATCATGGTAGTAATTGAACAATTGACCTCGAACTTATTAAGAAAGAACTTATTAAGGAAATGATTCCAATATGATTGTCACAATTGATAAGAGAAATGTCAACGTTTGTGCACACAATAATGGCTAATTAATATTGTAGAATAAGAACTCAGAACAATAACTTGGGTTTAAGTATTTAATGGATATTTAATTACGTCAATACATGGGCACACTGCACATCTAAATGCAATTAAATAAGCAAAGGACAGAAACTCATTTGATACTCATCAACTATATTTATATTTTAAATATTTCTGTTTTTAATTTTTATAGATCTTTTACTTCTATTTGCTGTTGCCATTGCCTCTGCCTTTGCCTTTGCCATTATTGCTCTTACCACTGGGACTACCACTATCACCCTCAACACCACCATCACCAGTGACGGTACCCGAAATTATGTCACTAATGTCAGCATAATTGACGCTTATGCGAGTGTACACATCTGGATATCCAGATATTCCACATTCTCTATGTCCCCAGCTTGTAATACCATGGACTTCCCATGCTCCGTTTGTCTGGCAAATCAAAGGTCCACCGCTATCGCCCTGAGAAAACAGCAATATATATATATCGATCTCACAAACCATTTTGCAAACAGAAGCAAAAAGTAGAATAAAATTATAGCAATATACAACAAACATAGCAACAATCTCATACGTCTGTTTCTTCATCTATTACAGGGACAGGACATGGGATGTCTTAAATTAGAATTTGAGTGCTCCCACGACGAGATATCGCTTGGTACTACTTAACTCAGTGGCGGCGGCACGGGGGAACAGAGGGGCGATCGGCCTCTCTAAAAATTTTGCCCCCTAAAATAAAACTGAAACCCTTTGTGTCAGCAAAATTTGCCTCTCAAAATGCAGGAAATAGCGTTTCAGGGGCTCTAGATTTTTAAGGGGGGCATGCCCGGACCCCGACCGCCGCCTCTCATGGAGACTTATCTAAGTATTATTATTGAAAAATAGGTTGTAATAATCCGCCCTTAAATAAGAAGTGTTTCAGTTATAAATTCAGTTCAGTTCCAACCAAAAATGATTGCAATCAATATTTAGCGACTGTTCTATTGTCAAATTGAATGTTGATGTGAGTGCGCAAACTATGTCCTCACATATTTGTTCTTTTACCATTTGACTTCAAGCGAAGGTACAACCCTAACCATCACTCGAACCGATATATACTCCCGAGCGGTAAAACCAATTCAAGGCAGACCAAATCCATTGATTGGTCCACCACCAAAAATATTTTTTTTTTATCAAATTACAACTCCAGCTATATGAATTGTGTATGTTCCATGACGCGATAAGCTACTTCGAACTTTGATCTTGAACTGTGTTTATTTATCTCCTATTGATTGGGCATTTCATTTCTAAGTATATACAGGGGGATAGTTTGTTTAGTTTTATGACCTACCGGGCATACACCTTGCGGCCCATCACCAGCACAAAGCATATTATTTGTCACACCATTCCATATATCGCCACATTCTATATTATTTAATGTAGTTACATTTGTACCTTGAAGATATTGAGAAATACTTCCTGAAATCAAAATAAAACACGTGTGAACAATGGAATGACTCAACCCAACAACATGTCGGTATATGTGCCATTTGAATTGGAAATAGTCGTTTTGAATTGTCTTAGAAACTTATTCAGGCTTTGTTCATATAAAAAAAATCTTCGGCAAGAGGGATGATGAGCTGATCTCGCCCCAATGCAAACTTTCGTGATAAAACGTAAGTTGCAATTGACCTCACTTAGATGACGCATTGGTTGTGGAATACGGAAAATGGGACCGAAGCATGCGCACTGCGTACACAATATGCCAATGACCCTTAACGAGGTTATGACGTAGACATAACTCATGAATATTATTTGAAAGTGCAATTAATTATAGAAAACATCTATTATGAAACGCCGGAATCACGTATATTCGGTCTTGACCCCCCCACTCTGTCTACTATGGTAATTTGAAGACTGTACACGCTTTCTATCATACTAAACTGGTCACAACATTTAACAACTGTTTCTGGCTTTTACAATCAAGTCTGAATGAGCGTAGGCAAGCTTCAATAGGTTTCGATTGACTACAGTGCCACCAGTGGCTGTTCACGGCCCCAAGGGTCAAGAAAATTTCATTCTGTCCACAATATCACATTTAGGAGGTTTTGAGGTGTTCATTCTTTGGATATATTTTGAGTTATCTGTTTGCTTTACCTTATCTACAAATGTTTGGGTTTCTGAGTGAAATCGTCTCTTAAGAATTGTCGAATTCCATATTGTCTGTGCAGATTTTTTTAAATCTACCACACCAACCACTTAGTCTGTTAAATATAACAGTTCAGTTTTCTCACAGTAAAGAGATGATGCGTTGTCATTAGGAAAAAAACACAATTGTATATGAATAAATTACACGTACCAGATGATGTTGTCCCCCATCCTGTAATTTCACATAGCTCTCCACTTTGTATTTCTCTTGTACCTAAAGGTATTGTGGCTATTCTGGCACTGGTGATGTTTGCCATAGTTGTTAATCTAAGCACAGCGTAATCACTATCAATGGTCCTTGAATCATAGTTAGCACTGACTGTTACCGTCTCCACCGAGTACTTTTCTCCATCGTCGCTACTGGAACGATCATGTTCACCAAGCCACACCTCATAGTTGGATGGTAGTGCGCTGCAATATAGGACACTGGTTACTTAGTTTAATAAGTAATATCAGAGGTAATATATATAAGCAAAACAAAGTGATATTTGCGACAATGCCTTTGGTAGATGTATCATTTAAGAAATGCAGGGGACTTCCACATGCAATTTGTTATCACAGACTGCGGTCGCCTGTTGATGTATGTATAAAGTATATGGATGAAACAAAACGTTTTTATGGTTTACATCCACATCCACAAAAAAGTACCTAACTCTACTTCCTCCCATTTAGTCTATTTTCTTACATATTTTTTTAACAGGATATACAATAAATAAAAAAAATGTGACTCAAGTTCATAAACTTAATATTTTTCTGAAGCTATCTATCACGTGGAAACCAGTAACCAGTGATATAATGTCCAGTAGTAAATCAGAGGTTTTAAATAAGAGGTAAATCAGACACAGTAATTCTTTGACAATGTTACACGTGAAATATCAGAAATGTATGCACTTTATAGAAAATATTTGAAATTAGAACATAGTTGTATTAAAATGTACAAAATAACATGCTTGGACCCGATTCTGATATTAAAGAAAACCTATACATACTCTGCACAATGTGCTGCAGTCAGTACACAATACGGGTCGACGAGAATACCACCACAAATATACCAGATGGAGTCTATTTGAAAGTATACCAATGCCTGCCAAGGGCGCGAATATGGTGCCACAGTATGTCCGCCTATTATATTAGTTGTTCCATTCGATAGCGGTTCTTTTTTAAGAAATCAAAGAAATATATATATGAGTCCAACATTTCGGAAGGCACTGATCAATGTTGCTATATGTAATTAAACATCATTATCATTCATCGAATACGATAGAGTACACAAATAAGTGAATTTACTTACCCAATTCTTGTAATAAGTCTCTTACATACGGATTCTGTAAGAAAAATAGTAAACTTATAATAAACAAATCATTGTTCTCATTTTATATAATAATTCGTAAATACTTAGTACATAACACAGTAGTTCAATTAAAAAAGGAGATATCAAAAGTAAATATTAAATAAGTTTGCAATATATTTCTAGGAATTGTATATGCACATAATTAAATAACTCACAAGGCTAGCTATTTGTTTGTAAATTTCTACATCTTCGTGAACAACACCAATTAAAATAAAATGTGTATCTATAATAATTCTCAAATAATGTACCAAATTAATGAGGTTACACGACTAGATGAATTTATCACTTCATCGTGTGCACAATGTTAGATTTCTAGGAATTGAATATGTGCATAATCCATGTGCATATAATATTCGGCTTAGTATGTGTGTATAACATAATGTCTGAGATTTAGATAGGCACCTAATAAATTACCAGCATGACAAGACATGACAAACTATTATACAGCTTGTTCGAAAGTGCCAATGTGTTGTGCAGAAGATTGTTAAGTATGAATAACTACAGAGGGTATGGTCATGGCTTCTGAATGGTTATTATCAAGGGTGCTGGAAATTCGACAGCGATTTGTTGATGAGGGAATTTATGTTGCTCCGCCTGGTATAATGAAATGTATGAGTGTATAGGGAAACAACGGGAAATTGTATTTCTTACACTTATTGGGCCAGTAATTGCATTGAACCCAAAATTCTGCTTGTCCCTGATTTCATTAAACTTTTTTCATAATAGGCCAATAGCATAGCCCCGTTCCCATGCCATAACGACATATCTGAAGATATAAATACCACTTACATATATGACTGATGAATTCGACACGTGTTCAGAGACAAAAAAGTGTGCTATAAAGTTTGTCACGAATACGATATATTAAATACGTAACTGTCAAAAATATGAAACGAAACATTACTGTTTATTTGTATGTTCAAAGTTTTTCGTTATTTACAATATAGTATTTGTTGGTGAAATCAGGAAATCAGTTCACGAATTTGAAATCAGCCACCTAAATAGTCCTTTATACTGAAGGTCGTAGTTTCGAATCTCTCGCGGGGCAACTATTTTAACATTTATATATCATGAAATATTAAGTAGTAATATCTCTCATAAATCACAAGTCAACACATAATCCCACTGTCGTTGCTAGGTAACGATTATATCGGCTTGCGAATGTATTATTGTATTGGGACATACATCACATTAAATCATTAGTACATAGCACTGAATAGGTAACAATATTGTTATATCTTATACTAGACTAATAACTTAAGTAACAAAGGAATGCAGGACTTACCCTCGGAGGGCTGGCAGAAGTTCCCAGGACGAGAATCCAAATAAAAACCAAACTCAACGACATAATGTCAATCTATGCGGAAGACAAGATAATTATTAGAAAAGAATTGAATGAATACAAATTATGTGTAATCCTCGAAAACTAACAGTGGTGAGATACGGCTGTTAAATCCATGTTCTCTTGCTTTTTTCCCCCAATACTTTTCTCTGATTTGTTTATTTCGTGATGATGTCTTCAATTTTCTAATTTTGATGAATATTTTTGTCATCAAAAAATCAAAACTGATTTTTTCAACTTTTTGTTAAAAACCACAAATTCGATTGCTTTGATATCATACATATAGTACCCAGGTAGACCACTCTCAGATTTGTTCATTTTCTAATGATCTCTTCAGTTTTTTAATTGAAATGTGCATTTCTAACATTATATTATAATGATAATAATACAAATATTACGCAACTGTACCACACAGTTACGTATGTTATAACAAGAATTATAATGTGATAATAACTATAATGTGATAATAACTATAATGTGATAATAACTATAATGTGATTATAACTATAATGTGATTTATAATTAATGATGACCTATGAATGTCAGCTTTTCAGAAAAGTGTGTAATACAGTTATAATTCTTTGCTACTAATTTATAAAAATATAAACATCAGAGTGTAACTCTAAATCAGGAAATAACGTGGTAAAGCATGTGGATATTGTTGACAAATATAATATTTTTCAAATGACAAAGATGGTGTGTTGTTTATTTTCAAGCAGTTTCTGGCGATCACATATATTCAAATTTAACATGCATATTCGCATTTGCTCAGTACTTTGCAATAGTTGCAATTACAGTTTCAGAACAATATTTTGATTCCGTAATTGTGCAAATAAAATAGTATGTTGTTGACAATAATTCACTCGTCAAATAACAAGGTTCACTTGTACACCTACGAGACAAAAATATTATTACCGCTTCTTGCAATACCACAGTGTGTGTTGTGTTTATATTCTAAAAAACTATTGTTTATGTGTGGTACAAATTTGGGGCTTATAGTTTGACCTAGGTTCGTGGTGTGTAGTAATTGTGATTGACGTGGTTAACATAGTTATACCCGCTTTGGGTACAAAAGCGCTCCTTAAAATGTTTAACACCGTATTAGATAGCGGGGAATACCCAAACTGTTGGAATACTAGCATAATTACACCAATGCACAAAAAAGAAGATATTCACAATCCAAATAATTACAGGGGTATTTCAACTAGTAGCTCATTCGGAAAGTTGTTCACAATGTTAACAATATTTAAAAGATAACTTGATTTATAAAAATCAAGCAGGCTTTAGATAAAAGCACAGAACAGACCATGTAATAACACTGCACACATTGATAGAAAAATATTAGTCAAAAAACAAAAATTTACTTAAGCGAATGTTTTGACACAGTTTGGAGGCAGGGACTGTTCCTTAAGTTACAACAAAATGTATTGGCATTGGCACTAGAATGGAAAAATACAATACCAAGCCATAAAATATTATCGAAATATTTTGAGGAATGGCCCAATAAGCTTGGCATACGATGCATTAATAGACCAGCAACATAATCAATACAAAGATTCTTGGTTTACAAATCTTCAGAAATTACAACAAATTTACTGAAGAATACTATGAAACAAAATGGAACTTGAGCAATAATGATCCATATTCTAAACTACGGACATATAAATTATTAAAAAATATGATTGAAATTGCCAAATACTTAGAAACTGTAGAAAACAGATAGGATACTGGCCTCATTTCTATACTAAGACTAAGTGCACATAAACTAATCATTGAATCTGGAAGACACCAAAAACCAAAAATTAAAATGTGCAAAATGTAATATTACTGAAGATGAGCTACACTTTTTCACATTATGTAGACTTTATACTGAGTAAGATTATACACAAAATTTTCAGAATCAATTGAAAATTTTGTTCAAGCTACTACTTTGGTACCATTCCTATAGTGAAATATAAGAGCTTCAAACAAGTACATTATATGTGCTACTATTTTGGTAGCATTCATATAGTGAAATATAACAGCTCCGAGCATATAAATTATATGTGCTACTATTTTGGTAGCATTCGTATAGTGAAATATAAGAGCTCTAAACAAGTAAATTATATGTGCTACTATTTTGGTACCATTCATATAGTGAAATATAACAGCTCTAAACAAGTAAATTATATGTGCTACTATTTTGGTACCATTCCTATAGTGAAATATAACCGCTC